CAGGCCCGCCGGCCAGCGCTCCCTCGGGGCATCTGGCACTCTGGGCTGGGCACAGGGCGGGGCCTGGCGGGTGCGGCCGGACACAGGCTCGGCCCGCGGCCACTCACTTGGAGAGCTTCATCTCGATCTGCTGCCGGATCTCCTGCCTCTCCTCGTCCGTCCTCCTGGGGAAAATGTTCCTGTCCTCCAGCTCCTGCTTGCTGGGCCGGTTCCTCAGCTTCACCGCCAGCAGCTCCTTCTTGCACTTCCTGGGCAGGGTCCCTGTGCCCGGCCGGGCCGGGAGAGGGCGACAGGACACGGGTGAGCGAGGCGCCTCTGGCCGCGCTTCCACCCGCTGCACCACCGGGGCCCGTTTTATCTTCTAGAAATAAGTGACCGTTCAAGGAGCTGTACTGGGCCCGGGAGCGAGTCCCACCTGGCCGTTCGCTGACCCCTCGGCGACGAAAGGGCCGCAGAGACCAGAGCGCACGCGGAGGCCGCGCATTATACAGAAGCCACGCAGTCGCTCCCTAGGGCCCTGGCCTGCTGCTGGGGTGCTGGGCAGGGGCTGGGCTGCCCCCCAGGAGCGGACAGCAAGCCGCTGGCCCCACAGGGCCTTGCCCACAGCATTTCCTTGCAGTGATTTGGAGGGAAAAAATCAGCTGGTGGTGAACAAAATGAGTTTGTCCAGAACCTGCTCTCATTACACGTCATCTTCGTGACCTCACAGCCCACAAGGGCCTGGACACTGTCCCAGCGACAGACGTGCTGCCCCAGAGCGAGCTCAGCGCATCCACGGAGTGGGGGCCAGTCCGGTACTGGGAGAAGCCGCCGCCTCCCCAATCCTGCAGCAGCACCCCGCGGCCCACGGCCACCCCCAGCCGGGAGGGGCCCACCCTCCCTCCCACCGAGGGGACCCCGGGAGTGGGCGGCTCCGGAGCTGGACATCCCCCAAGCTGGACACGCGACCGGCCCCGGCCCGGGCTGGGCCTGACTCCTGCATGGAGCATCTCCCCCGGCCCTGGACGGGCTCCCTGGCCAGGCCCGTGCTGGTGTCAGGGTTACTCCTGAGCTTTACAGTGCCCCCCCGCACCCCTTCTCCCTGCTCCCTCCTCTGCCCTCTTGGCCTCAGGACCCTCAACTCTTCATCAGTGGCCAGTGATTCCTGTCGGGGCTTCGCGTCAGCCCCCCGCAGTTGCCAGGGCCCCCACAGGCTTCACTGCCACAGGCCCTCCCCTCACGCCTCCTGGGCTCTCGGGGTCCCAGAGCCACAGCTGGGTGCCCCGAGGGAGGGGAAGGGGTGGGAGAACAGGGACAGAAACCGGGCTGGAGGTAACACGCCCTTGGGGACTGTCCTCGGGACGAGCGTCCCCACCACGGGGCCTGGGCAGTGCCGGCGGGCTGGGCGGAGATGGCGCATCGCTGCGGGGCAGGGCGCCCTGAGAGCGGGACCAGACAGGGCTGCGCTTTCTGACTGGAAGTCGCGCCTGGCTCCCTTAACTCTCCTGCTCCTGCCGGCTTCTCTGCCTGTCGCTCACTGACCGCCTTGGCCGTAGGGGCCCCCCGAACACATTCCAAGAAGCACCGGCCTCCCCTGGCCCTGACCGAGGCCCTCCACCCACGCCGGGGCTCACCGCTAAGACCAGTCCTTCTGGGGGTTCGCAGTGTGCTCCCAGCACCCCGACCCCGGCTGGGCTGGCCCGCAAGCCTCCCTCAGTGCCCTCTTGTTCACTCAGTCTTGCCCACACTGTGTACCCCACTCCGGCAGCCCGAATCTCCGCACACATTTCCGGGGTCCCCTTCACCAGCACCCTGCCCTACAAATGCAGCTGCTTCCACAGCCCGGAGCTGCCCCCTCATCCCTTCCTGAGCGGTGGCTACTCTGCTGGGGCCTCCCTCTGCCCACGGGGACACCCCCAGGCCTGCGGCCTCAGCGGGCACCCCCTCTCCCAGGACCATGGCCCCACAGCGGCGGGTCTCGACGGGTGTTGGCAGGCCACGTGTGTTCAGCTCCCCAGCAGTGCGGGGTGCCGAGCTCCAGCAAAGCCGGGAGCCTCACAGGTGCCAAGCTGCCGGGGACACCCAGCCCCTCCCGGGGCACCAGGCGACCAAGTTCCTGGAGTGAGCCCCGCGTGAGAGGGGAGTGGGCGCAGGGGCGGGGCTGTTGTGGCTATTGTCGCCTAAGGGTTTGCGAACGGCCAGGCCTGCAGCAGCCTTCGCCGGACGTAGCCGGTGAGCGACCAGCCCGAGAACGACAAGGAGCGCCAGCGCGGCCCGAGAAGCACCGCTCTCCAGGAGGGGGCCACAGACCCAGGGAGGCTGAGGGGCCGCCCCGGCCACAGGCGTGCGGTTGAAGCGCGGACCCCAGCGCTGCTCCCCTCACCAGAGATGATGGAGTCGTTGAGCGTCTCCTCGTCCTGGTACAGGAGCAGGTCGTCCTTGAGCTCGGCAGCGACCACCAGGTTCTCCTTGTTCTCCTCGGACTCTTTCCGCTTGTTCTCCGAGGCCCCGTCGGGGCTCCAGGCCTCCTCCCGCTCCCTGGCCTGCTCCAGGCTGGGCGTCCTGGACAGGCGGACGTCCACCCGCTTCTTCGGGGACACTTTAGCTTCCCTTCCTTGAAAGCTGATCAGAAAGACAGTCCAGGGGGCTGCCGCCCTTCACCTGGACACCCGGCAGCCTCCACTCGGGCGGAGACAGCAGCGACGGCGGCCCCAGCTGCTGGGTCGGGCCCCGGCACTCGGGAGGGCAGCACCGGACACGTGCACAGTAAAACCTGTCCGAGGGGGCCGGGGGACACTCGGCCGCAGGGCCCTGAACACGGGGAGGGCCGTTTCGGGGCCAGCACTGGGCCGCTGCTGCCCCGGCCGCCTGGCCGCCCCTCGCCCTGCGGCCGCGGGCTCTTCCGGCCGCTGCAGGGACGCAAAGACATCAGGACCCTGGACAGCGACCCCCACGCTCCAGGCATCAGAGCCCTGGACAGCACGTCCACCCGGACACCCTGGACAGCGACGCCCCTCCCACCCCAGGTCCCCGCAGCCCAGGTGCTACTCGGACAGGACACGGCCCGCAGGGGCCTCACCTGTCCTGCCGGTGCTTGGTGGCCAGCGCCCGGTGCAACTCCTCGATGACGCGGCTGGGCGGCAGTGGCTGGTGGGCAGCGTTGAGGTGCGGGGACCCCGCGGGCGTGGAAAGCTGGCCTCGGAGCAGGGGGTCGGCGCTCTTCCCACCAGAGCCCTGGAAGAGCACGGCCTGGCCTGGGCGTGAGGGGAGCCAGGGCGGGGAGTCGGGGGGGCTCACCGTCAGGCAGCAGCGGGCGCGTGGGGCCGGCCAGGGCAGTGTGCTGCCCGAGACACTGCCCAGGAGCCCCCAAAGCTGAGAGGGGCGCCTCTGGCCTGTGCTGCTCCCTGCAGAAAGCCCCGTGAGCCCAGTGCCAGCATCAATGGCCCGGGAAGCCTCAGGGGAGGACACGCCCCTTCCTGTGCTCCAGCACAGGCTGAATCCCCAAGCTTCCCCGGGGGCTCTTCCTTCTGGGGGCCCAGAAGCCCTGTGGCGGCCACAGCCTGGAGACTCCTTCCCTTCCTGCTTCCGCACACCCTCTGTCTCAAACACGGCCCACGCCCAACACTGACGGCCCGCTTGTGACCGGCACCCCCTGGCCATTCCCGGGCCCTGCAGGCCTCCCCACTCGGCCCTCTGGCCAGCCCTCCCCCCACGCCCCCGTCTTCCTGGGGAGAGATCTTTGCGGACCTCCATGGCACCACACCTCTCTACGCCGAGCCTCGGCGCAGGCTGTTCCCCCATCTGAAATGCTTGTCCTGCCCTCTGCCCCGTGCCACCAACTCGGGAGACCTTTCCACCCTTGTGGGGAGCTCCCAGGCCTGTGCCTGGGTACCCGGGCCATAAACGCCTGTTTGCATATTTACACAGCAAAGCAATCGCCAAATCCCGCCCGAGACAGCCAGCGAGGCCACCACCCGCCTCCTCTCTGTCCCGCAGAGGCTTGTGCCTATGCAGACCTGCTCAGTGGCCCCCGGAGGTCCCCAGACCTGCTCAGTGGCCCC